AAAAGGTTTGAATTGAATTGCTTAGTATTGCAGAAGATCACGGAATGCATACCGCAGACAAGAGTGGATACCACGCGACTAAAGATACCTGATTGCCTAAAGCTTGCAGACGAAGAATATTATAAACCAGGAGTTATAGAAGTATTAATTGGTGCAGATACGTTTTGGCAAATTCTACAGAATGACCACATAGATCTGCTTCCAGGACAGCCAAGAATACAAAGTACATCCTTGGGATGGATTCTGGGAGGACGACTTGAAAACAAGATAGATGGCGGCAGAATAGCATGCAATCTATTAACCAACGAAGAATTGAGTCAACAATTGGAAAGATTCTGGCAGCCAGAGGAAGTCAACGGACCAGAGTATCATTCGCAGGAAGAACAATTGTGCGAAAATCATTTTAAAACTCACGTGCAGAGAAACTCAGATGGTCGGTTTATAGTGGCACTACCTCGGAGAGACGATATTATACTTGGTGACTCCTATAAGACAGCATTGAAAAGGTTACTCGCTTTGGAAAGACGATTTGAAAGGCAACCCGAAATAAAAAGAGATTACGTAAGCTTCATGCAACAGTATAAGAAGCTCGGTCATATGTCGCAAATCGAAGAGAATCGACCAAACAGGGCAAAGGATATATACTATTTGCCACATCAGCCAGTAATCAAAAGCAATGCACTGACAAGTAAATTGAGGGTCGTCTTCGATGCGTCGGCGCGATCAGAATCTGGTGTATCATTGAACCATAAATTAATAGCAGGACCAGTGTTACAGGACACGCTGTTTGAATTGCTGTTGAAATTCAGACTACATCAATATGTTATGACAGCAGATTTAGAAATGATGTACCGGCAAATATTAGTAAGAGAACAAGACAGGAATCTTCAGAGAATTCTATGGAGAGCAAGCATTCAAGAAGAAATACAGATTTACTGTCTAAACACCTTGACGTATGGCACATCCTCAGCGCCCTTTTTGGCAGTAAGGTGTCTCAAGGAGCTAGCAATTCAAGAGCAAATCAAGTATCCAGAAGCAGCTAAAGTGTTAAGATACAATTTTTATATGTGCTCACAGGAGCGCACACTATGGAAGAAGCCTGTCTGTTGCAGCAGCAATTAATGGAATTACTCAAGGCAGGAGGATTTAACCTTCGTAAGTGGAGGAGCAACAATAAGGAGATACTCAGCTCGGTAAGGCAGTATGATGAAAATGAATTTCTGGTTTTAAATAAGCATGAAATAATAAAAACTCTCGGGTTACGTTGGAATGCGGAGCATGATTACCTTCAGTACGAAATGAAAGTAGGTGGAGAACAAATTGTAACCAAAAGACAATTATTATCATTAATTTCGAAGATATATGATCCTCTGGGCCTCATCGGACCTATACTTGTGATAGCCAAACAATTAATGCAGCGAGTTTGGAAGGAGCAGTTAGATTGGGATGAAGAATTACCTGATCATCTACATAAAGAATGGTTAAGGTACCACAGTGCTATCAATTCAGCTCAAACACTTGTAGTTCCTCGTAATGTTAATCCAGGCAATGTGTCTATGGATATAGAAGTGCATATCTTCTGTGATGCGTCGGAAAAGGCGTATGGAGCTTGCGCTTATGCATGTCATCAAGGGCGAGAGGGGAGCATCGCCGTTCAATTAATGTGTTCAAAGTCCAGAGTAGCTCCTCTAAAGTCTATTACATTGCCTCGCTTGGAGCTGAATGCCGCACATTTAGCGGCCAAGCTGTTTGACAGCCTGGAGAGAACGCTAGGAGAAAGAATCAGGACAGCAAGATTCTGGACAGACTCGATGATTGTCTTAAGTTGGATACGCACAGAAACGTATAAACTAAAAACCTACGTGGCTAACAGAGTCTCGGATATTCAACAGATTACAGCGGGCAAGATCTGGAGTCATGTACCATCAAAACACAACCCAACAGATTTATTATCAAGAGGGATTAGCACAAAAGAGTTGAGAGACAATAGGTTATGGTGGCATGGACCACAATGGTTGACTCAGCCGGAAGAAGAGTGGCCATCTCAGAGGACAGACAAATTGGAAGAAACCCCAGAGCTTCGTCGAGAAGTAGTGCTCACAGCAATTGCGGACAACCATATTTCAGAAATTTTGAAAAAATATTCGTCTATAAGTAAATTGAAACGAGTCATCGCTTACTGCATGAGGTTTGGTAGTAAACTTAGAGGAGAGAAGAAAAATGAAGAACTTACCATAGAAGAATTAGAAAGGGCGATGTTAGTGATAGTTCGTTTGGTGCAAGACCAAGCTTTCAAAAGAGAGATAAACGAGTTGCGATTAGGAAAGGCAGTTCATCGAAAAAGCAAATTACTGTCGCTTCGTCCATTTCTCGACAAAGATGGACTCTTACGTGTAGGAGGCCGACTGCGGCAAGCCGAAATTGAGTGGGATCAAAAACACCCATTACTGCTGCCTGCCAAGCATTATATAACTACGCTTATATTCCAAGAAGAGCACAGAAGGTTACTGCATTGTGGGCCAGAGCAGCTCTTAGCATCAATCAGGCTTCGATACTGGCCAATAGTGGGCAGGCAAGAAGCACGCAAGATAACACGACATTGTATAGAGTGTTTTAGGTTTAAGCCCAAGGTCATAGAAGCGGTTATGGCAGATCTACCCAAGGATCGTCTTCAAGGTTGTCTAAGGCCATTCGCAATTAGCGGGGTAGATTATGCTGGACCGATCCAAATTAGAGAAGGAAAAAGAAGAGGAAGGATACCTATATCAAAAGGATATATAGCATTATTTGTATGTTTTAATACGAAAGCCGTTCATTTGGAAGCAGTAACGAATCTGACCACTGAAGCCTTCCTAGCAGCTCTAAGAAGATTTACAGCCCGAAGAGGACTTTGTAGAATACTGTACTCGGACAATGCCAAGAATTTTGTAGGAGCTTCAAGAGAGTTAAAAGAAGTCCACCAGTTCATGAAGGATCGAGCCGATCAGATCAAAACCGGCATGGTGACACAAGGTATTGAATGGAAATTTATACCGCCGCGATCTCCAAATTTTGGAGGGTTATGGGAGGCGGCCGTTAAGGCCACTAAACGACACTTATATATAGCCACGCGTAATCTCATATTGACATATGAGGAACTCAGCACTCTTCTGGCTGAAATTGAAAGCATATTAAATTCACGTCCCTTGACCCCGTTGTCCTCTCACCCTAACGACCTAACAGCATTAACTCCTGCCCATTTCCTACTTGGAGACTCGCAATCAGAACCAATGCAAAAAAACTTATTAGACGTGTCAAATAACGCTGTATCAAGATGGCAACACCAGCAAAAAATTAAACAACATTTTTGGATCCATTGGAAAAAAGAGTATTTGCACCAACTACAAATGCGTACAAAATGGTACCACGACGCCACGAAGCTGGAGCCTGAAGCAATGGTAATAATGATGGATGAACAAACACCGCCGCTTAAATGGGCCTTAGCGCGAATACTGGAGTCACCCAGGGGATGATGGAGTAGCCCGAGTAGCCACTATAAAAACAGCTAATGGAGTATATAAAAGATCCATTCGGAAACTGTATGCACTTCCAATCGACAATGGCACTAAAGAAAGGGATTAAGCAGCAAGAACAGATTAATTGATATTCATTTTTTTTTAATAATTATTCGTTGTTAACATAATATGTTCCAGGTTATTTTATTGTATAAGACACATAACGATTGAAAGAAGGCTTTCAAGGTGGCCGAGGATGTCAAGGAGTTAATATGACCAAAGTATATTCAATATACCGCGGCGCTCAGATGATAAGCCTGACCAACATGGCGCACTTTAATTGCATGTCGCGGACGAAGGTGGCGCATCGAGGATAGAGAAGCGTGAGAGTCGGTGTGTCGTTACGTTACGTTGAG